GATGGGTGAGGTGGTCCTAGAACTATTCCCTTCTGAATACTGACAAATAACTGAAGTCAAATTTTAAAAATTTCTTTTCAGCTGGGTGTGGTGGTGCACACCTTTAATCCCAGCACTTGGGAGGCCTCAGAAGGCAGAAACAGGCAGATCTCAGTGAGTCTGATGCCAGGCTGGTCTGGAGTTCCAGGAGCTGGGGCTACTGGGAGACCCTGTCTCAAAAAGAAAACAAAAAATTTCTTCTCAGGTCATTTATATCTTTCTAAAAATGTGTGCATTTCATCTAAGTTGTTTGATTTGGGAGGGGGCATAAAATTGTATTCTCTCATAATCCTTTAAATTTCTTCAGGGTTGATAGTGATGTTGCCCCTTAAATTAAAAAAAAATTTATTTTTATTTTTTGTGTATGTATTGTCTGCATGTAGGTAAGTGCACCCATGTCATGCAGTGCCCTCGGAGGACACAGAGGCTGTCAGATCCCCTGGAACTGGAATTATGGATAGTTGTTAGCTGACATGTGGGTGCTGGGATTCAAACCTGGGTCTTCTGCAAGAACAACCAGTGCTCTTAACCGCTGAGCCATCTCTCCAGCCCCAGCCCCTTTAATTTTTAAAAAAATTGTGTGTATATGTGTATTTCTGAGTGTAGGTTTGTGCATGTGAGTGCAGTGCTTGTGAAGGCCAGAAGAGGGCATTGGATCCCCTTGAATTGGAGTTACAGGTGGTTGTGAGATGTGCCTGACATGGCTAGTGGGAATCAAACTCTGATCCTCTGTAAGAGCAGTACCCATCCTTTACTGCTGAGCTTTCCAGGCTCTAAAAATATTTTTGGAGAATTTATTATTGGTGGTGGTGCACACACATGTCACTGCAGGGGAAGTCAGAGGACACTTTGTGGGAGTCAGCTCTTCCACCATGTGTTTTCTGGGGATCAAACTCAGGTCATCAGACTTGACAGCAAGAGCTTTTACATGCTGAGCCATTTCACAAGCCCTTAATTTTTATTACTCTGTGTGTGTGTGTGTGTGTGTGTGTGTGTGTGTGTGTGTGCGCGCGCGCGCGCGCGCGCGCGCACATGTGTGGAGATGGAGGTTGAGATCTAAAGGATAACTTTCAGAAGTTGGTTTTCCTTCCACCATGAGTTCCTGGGACCGAACTCAAGTTGTCAGGCTTGCATAAACCTGCTAAGCCATTTTGTTGGCCCACAAACCTGTAACATTCTAAAACTCTGAAACAGGATTACCAACCTTGAGTTTTTTGTGTGGTGGAGGGAGGGGCAGTAGTTTGAAACAAGGTCTCATTATGTATCCCATATTGGCTCATAACTATTGCAGTTGTTCTCCCTCAGCCTTCTGAATGCTGGCGTTACAAGCAGAGCTACTACATCTAGCTTAAGAACCTTAACTTCCTTATGACCTAGTGTAGTAAGGATTCTTTGACCCCTTTTGACTCCCCCCGCCCCCCATGGTGCTGGGGCTTGAACCCTGCTTGTGCAGGATAGGCAGATGCTCTGCTGTTGAACTATACTCCCAGCCTTGCTATGTTTTTGCATTTCTTTGGGGTTTTTTTTTTATTATTGTTTGTATGATGGCAGGGTATGCACATGTGATGTTCAGAGGACAGCTGTGGAGTTATTTCTTTCTACCTTTTGTTTTGATTTTGGGTTTTTTTGTGTTTTTTTTTACTTCTTTTTTTGTTTTAAAGTTCAGCAAAAACATTTTGACTGTTAGTTTAAGCCCTTTCTTGTAGTTTGATTATGTTCCTGTATATGCTGAGATTTTGTACTGTGAACATTTCAGATCATCAGTGTGGACATATTTACTTGCAAGTCACTGTGTGATGATAGTTGCTGTAGAAATGATTCGATTTTGAAGAGGCGATTAACAATGAGAGATTTTGAAGAGATGATTAACAATGAGATTCAGATTTTCTGAATCCACGAAATACTAATTCATACTGCCTTGTCCAGTTTTCCTGTGTTCAAAGCCCTTTCCCATCATTTTCATGATGTTACTATGAAACAGACTCAGAATTTATGAGCTAGGAAAGAAGCCAAGATTCCCTAAGAGAACTTTCCATAAAATAGATTTATTTGTGTGCTTTGTCAGATTTTTGAGTTTTTTGTTTGTTTTGTTTTGAGACAGGGTCTCTCTGAAGCCCCACCTAGCCTAGAACTTGCTATGTAGACCATGCCGGCCTCAAATCTCACAGACATTCACCTGCTTCTGTCTCCTGAGTGCTGGGATTAAAGATATACACCACCACACCTGGATCTTTCTACCTTTACATAGACTCTAGGAGTCAAACTCAGGTAGCCAAACTTACACAGCAAGCACTTTGCCTGTTGAGCACTATTTCCAGTCTCCTGGTTTTTTGTCTGTTTTGAAATTTTTTTTACATTTATTTATTCATTCATTGTATGTGCATGCACACATGTATATGTGTGTGGCTACATACATGCGGGAGTCATTTCTTTCCTTCAACTGTGTGGGTTCCAAGGGCTGCCGACTTGGTGGCAAGTGCCTTTACCCACTGGGTCATCTCACTGGCTCTGGTGTTGTTATTTTGAGACAAGGTTTTATGTAGCCCAGGCTAGTCTGGGCCTCCTGATCCTCCTGCCTCCACCTTCCAGCTACTAGGATTACAGGCATGTGGGTCACCATTCCAGGCTCTGTTGACCTATGTCTGGTCTTATTGGCCTTTCGTCCTAACCCATTCATCTTAGAAGGCATTCCATCATCTTATTTACAAAAACAAAGCAAAAAAACTCATTAGATAGATGGCTATTGTTAAGATTTTTAATTTTGTAACTGTCTTGTGAGGAGCCCACACTAATGTGTTGCATGTACACTCTCCCCTAATGCTTAAATCTGTATTGTACAGGTTTTTGTTTTGTTTTGTTTTTCTCTTTTTGAGACAGGTCTCCTTGTAGCCCCAGCTGGCCTGGAACTTGCCAAGTAGATGAGGCTGGCTGTGAAATCACAGAGGTCCACCTGGTTCTGCCTCCCAAGTGTATGCCACCATACCCGGCTAGTAAACAGTTTCTTTTTTTTTAAATATTTTTTTTATTATTTTTATTTTGTGTGTATAAGTGTTATGCCTGCATGTAGGTAAGTATACCCATGGTGTGCAGTGCCTGCAAAGGACAGAAGAGGCTGTCGGATCTCTTCTGTCCATAACTGGAGCTCTCAACAGTTTTTAGCTGCCATGTGGGTGCTGAGATTCAAACCTGGGTCTTCTGCAAGAACAGTCAGTGTTCTTAACCACTGAGCCATCTCTCCAGCCCCTTAAACAGTTTCTTAATAAGTTCCCAACTATATATATTTTTTAAGCTTATTTATTTATTTGTCTTTTTTAGACAGGGTCTCCCTGTAGCCCCAGCTGGCCTAGAACTCATTATGTAGACCAGGTTGGCCTCAAACTCAGAGATCCGCCTGCCTCTGCCTCCCAAATGCTGGGATTAAAGGCATGCACCACCATGCTTGGCCTTTAATTATGTGTATATGAGTGTGTCTGTGGGTATGTGTATACAGGTGCCCATGGAGGCCAGAAGAGGGCATCTGATCTCCTGGAGTTAGAGTTAAGGTGGTGTGAGCCACCTGACGACATGGGTACTGGGCACTGAATTCTAGTCCTCAGCAAGAGCAGCAGGTGCCGAGCCATCTCTCCAGCCCCAATGGGCAACACGGGATGATGTCATCTCAAAATAGCAACAATATGTGGCTAAAGAATGTTGGCCTGTATAAAATAAGTAATAGTGCAGGTGGTTTGATAACCCAACATGAGTCATGGCATCACGGCAATGAGGGGTGGAGCAGAGATTTGCACATGCATTCCTATGGATTCCATTACTCAGCGCCTGTTTTTGAGATTGGGTTCAAAGACAGTTGAGATAGCATCTGTCATCTCAGATTGTTTCTTCTTTCCCCTCTGTAGTGGAGCACATGATCCAGAAGAACCAGTGTCTCTTCACCAACACCCAGTGTAAGGTTTGTTGCGCCTTGCTGATTTCTGAGTCTCAGAAGCTGGCACATTACCAGGTATGTCATAGTACTTTTAGCAGTGCTTTTGCTTTTCAGACCCATTGCCAAGCCCTTGCTTCTCCCTGTCATGCACAGTGAAGGGTAATTCCTAGCTACCAGATGTTGCCTTTAGGCATGTTTGCTTGTGATTGAAGATTGCCTTATTTTTTCTGAATTTCATTTCTTCCATCCAAATCAGGATCATTATGTTTCTCTTTCATTAAAGCTTATAGCAGGACATATGCAGGTTGACTTTAAATAGACCTGAGTTTGAATCATAACTCTTATTCATTTTAGGAAAGAAACCTTACCATTTTTAGCCTCTGCTTCTTTGTGTATAAGGAGATAACAGTATCCGCCTAGATTGTTGAAGATTAAATTTAATAACATGTAAAGGGCCTTGCACATAGTAGGAACTCAGTAAACTACGTTTCTTCTCCCATATTCTCCTCAAAAATTTTTGTGGCAATGACTTAGGTGAAAATTTAGTATTTCTGGGTGCCTTCTCTATGAAATGGCATTTGGCTATCTTTGATCTTTTTCTTGGGTTTTTGCAGAGCAAAAAACATGCCAACAAAGTGAAGAGATACCTAGCAATCCATGGGATGGAAACATTAAAGGGAGACATGAAGAGACTAGATTCAGATCAGGTAATACAGCTGCCATGTTGAGACTGCTCGCTTCCTGATGAAGCCAGGAAGCAGGTTGGTGTGAGAGCCTGGGCTTTGAGTCAAACTGACTTTGCAAATCCCAGCCCTGTTGTTTGACTTGGGCAGGTCTTAACTTTGAGCCTTAATTTCTTCCTCTATTAAAAACTAGGATACTGCCAGGCGTGGTGGCACATGCCTTTAATCTCAGCACTGGGGAGGCAGAGGCAGCAGATCTCTGTGAGTTCAAGGCCAGCCTGGTCTACATAGTGAGTTCCAGGACAGCTGGGGCTACAGGGAGACCCTGCTTCAAAAAGACAAAAACAAAAAGACCAAAAAAAAAAAAAAAAAAAAAAAAAAAAAAAAGGATATTGCTGAACGTGGTTCTGCAAGCATATAATCAGTCCAAAGCACTTTGGAGGTAGAAACAGGACGATCACGACTTCAAGGTCACTCTTTGGCTACATAGCAAGTTTGAGGCCTGACTGTGCTACATGAGACCTGACTCAAAAAACAAACAAACAAAAGGTTGCTAATGTTAGCTGTCTTTCAGGATTTTTCCTAAGTTAAGAAAAAATTTATATATAAACAGTAGCAGACTCTGAGCCTGGCACATAGTAGGGGACTCAGTTATGGCACCATTGTTACACCCTCCCACCCAGAGGGTTATTGAAGCAGAGCCAGAAACTGCCTGAAAGGAAGTAGATAGAAGCTACACTGCTCACTTCCTTAAACTATAGGGGAAATCAGTATTTGAATGTTTTGAACAAACAAGAAAAATTAATGCCAGGCATGGTGGCTCAAGCCTTTAATCCCAGCACTCAGGAGGTAGAGGCAGGCAGATCTCTGTGAGTTCAAGGCCACTCTGGTTTACATAGCTAGTTCAGGTCAGCTGGGGATGCAGGGAGACCCTGTCTCAAAAAGACTAAATAAATAAATAAATAAATAAATAAATAAATAAATAAATAAATAAAATGCCTTCTCTGATTAAGAAGCAATTGCATTTAATTTTTTTTGGCTTAGAATGTCTGTAAGGAATATGCTGAAACAACCCCTAATCCCTTGAGAATATTGCTATTTTTATAATATGAGAGGTTGTCTGTATCACACACTAGAAGTCAGTAGACAAGACTCTTTGACTTACTGGATGAGTGACTTTGGGCAAGTCACTTAACCTCTCTGAACTTCACTCCTAAAGTGGAGATGATCTTGCCTCTTAAGGTATTATGAAGTATAATTTCAGTCCTCAGTAAATGCCCAACAAATAAGAGGTACTCTACAAATTGCTGATTCCTATTAGAGACCAGTAGTTTAAAAGGTTCTTGCTTATCCCTTCTAGAAATTCACTGGGCTCATCCCCTGGTTGTCCTCCTTATGATTTAAAATCCAGGAAGGTGGGGCTGGAGAGATGGCTTAGCAGTTAAGAGCATTGACTGCTCTTGCAGAGGACCTGGGTTCGATTCCCAGCAACCACATGGCAGCTAACAACTGTCGGGAGCTCCAGTTCCAGAGGATCTAATGCCCTCTTCTGACCTCTGTGTGCATTGCATGACATAGGTGCACCTACCTACATGCAGGCAATACACTCACACACATAAAATAATAAAAATAAAAATAATAAAATATTTTTTAAATATTAAAAAAAAAATCCAGGAAGGCAAGATCACTTTGTCTCTTTGTACTTCAGTCCCTTTAATTCTTGTGGTGGCTAAGTAGCTCAAATGAGATAATAGCACCCACCATCAACTAGGAATTACCAACTCCAGTCCATAGTGCTAAGGTTGAAAAGTGTTGAAATGAATACCCTATTCAGAGGTCAGACTTTTCAGGAAGATAGAAGACTTTCATACAGGCTTGCAATACATTTTATCTAACTATAGTAAGCAAATAAAACCCAATTACATATTTGTTCTAAGAACCCTGAGCATCTACTGTGCCAGATACCAGTGGGGTGTGAAAGATAGAAACAAAGCTGTCCATCCCCAGCAGTACACTTGAGTTCACAGAAAAGGAAAAAGCTGTTCCACTGTCAGTTTAGGGTGGCAAGGGGTAGAGTAGAATTCTAGTTCACTCTGGGGTACAGATGAGGAACAAGGGTCATTCTTCCTGGAATATACATGTGAATGGGCTTGATGATTGTTTTCTCAATGAGAAACAATCTCTTTTTTTTTTCTTTAAAGTAAATGTCTGCTAAGTGAATGACTGATAGCAGACATAACGCCAGGCAGGAAAGGAGGAAGGGCATTCTAGACAGTAGGAATAGTCCAAGCAAAGCAAGGAAGCAACATTAAAATGAAGAATCATGAGTACAGCCTGACATGAAGGAGCTGGAGAAGAATCCATAAAGGTAGGTTGGGGTTAGTATGTGAAGCGGGTATTAAATATCCATCCTATGGGCAGTGGGGAACCATTGAAGATTTTCTGGCTGGGCAATGGCATGACCAGACCTGTGTTCTTTCTTCCAACCAGAAGAGCAGCAGAAGCAAAGACAAGAACCAGTGCTGCCCCATCTGTAACATGACCTTTTCCTCCCCTGTTGTGGCCCAGTCGCACTACCTGGGGAAGACCCACGCAAAGAACTTAAAGCTGAAGCAGCAATCCACTAAGGTGGAAGGTACTGGTTTTCCTGAGTAGTGCTCTATTGGGGCCCCCTCTTGTCCTCAGGGGACCATTACCAAGTGCTTCCAGAAACTCACTAGGGCCTCAGACTTGGATACCGCTTTTGGGAGCCCTGAAAATTTTCAAAGGGTTGGGAATGTAACTCAGTTGGCTTAGTGCTTGCCTAGCATGCACAAAGCTCTGGGTTTCATCCCTAGCATTGCATGAACCAGGTGTAGTGGTGCACACCTGGGATCTCAGCACTCAGGAGATGGAGGCAGGAAGATTGAAGTTCAGGGTCATCCTCAGCTACATAGAGAGTTTGAGGCCATCCTAGATACATGAGACATTCTCAAAAAATATATTTAACCATAGTGGAGCCTGCTTCATTGATATTTGACCTCAGACTCACGGTTATCTTATGTTCCCCTTGATTGGTTCCATCAGTTTTTCTCAGTAGAAGCTTCTTAGTCTGAGCTTTTGTCCTGACCAATAATTATAACTCAGGAGTGCTAAAGTCCTACATATACCAGAGAATCATTTTATCTCCTACCTCTCCCACTTAATTTTTTCCTTCCCGCTATCTACCTGCTCTTATTACTAAGTGTTGCCAGTTGAAAGCTAAACCATTGTCTTTTTCATATGCTCAGGTTATGCCCTGCTCACTTTAATCCTCAAAAGCTGTCTGTTCTCAAGACAGGGGCTTGCCTTTCAAAGCAAAATACTTCAGTGCTGCTACTTCTGCCCAGCAAGCTGTTTGCAGCTGCCATGACTGCACTGACTTCCAAAATGGCCTCCTTTATCTTGTCACCTCTGCGGCCAGACTACTCTTTCATCTTGCTAACTCCTGGATCCTGGAGTTTTTAACCTCTACTAACTACAATTAGTCAAGAGTGAGAGTTCTTTGATCTTTATTTCACTTTTAAAAAAATCACTTTTTCTGTTTTGGCCAAGAAGTAAATTATACTATTTATAGTACTTGCCATCCTTTTTGTTTTACTATATTGTTGAAACAAGACAACAGTGTTTTAGAAGGCTTTGAAGATAGGATGGAAAATCTACTCATAATTATACCCTCTAATCAGACCCAAGTCTAGTTTTTCATGGTATGAAACAATAGAGCATAGACTTTGAAGTCATAACAGCACAGATTTAACCCCTGGCACTGTTACCATTCTGTCTAAGTTTCTTCATCCATAATATGTCAATACTATCTACTTCATAGACTGTAGAGTTAAAATAATTAATAAAAAAAACTTTGGACTGCTGGGTATACTGACATGAACCTTTAATCCCAGAACTCAGGAGGTGGAGGCAGGAAAATCAGGAGTTCGGTGCCATCTTTGTCTACAGAACAGGTTTGAGATGCCTAGCCTATATGACTCCAAGACGTAGAATATAACTGATGCTCACTAAACATCAGCTATCATTATTGGTTCCACAATCAAGATAGCCAGTGAGTAGCATTCCCTCATAAAATGCAATAAATAGTAGACTAGGCATCCACATCCAGAGCATGCCATGTACAAGGTTGGTGCATTATTAACTTAGACTAGTACTGACTGATGTTGTTAAAGTCAAAGTTGGTAACAGCAGTGTTACCATAGTGTTTAAATAGTAGGCCAAGGAGAATTCTCTTTAAGAACTGAGCTTTACAAGGTTGTAGACTTACCTTTCCACAAGTGGGAAAGTTCTGTGGAACTTGCCTCACCCCAATACTTCCATACTAAACACTACATTATTTTCCATATTCACTTTCAGCCTTTGCCACATGCAAATTGTCTGCCATGTGTGTTTGGATAGTTGCAATCAGTGCATAAACCGTTTGTATTTTGCTTTTACTTTTTATTTAACCTTATAGTTTAAGTATATGTCTATTACCTCATGAGTTTATAACTGTATTCCTGAAATTAAACATTTGTCTAATCTAAAAGTTAAAACAAGCGTATTGTAGAAAATGTGGAAAATATAGATTGAAAGAAACTACCATAATCTTACCATTTCAAGTTAAGCACTGTTAACATTCTAGAGTACTGTTTCTCTTACAACCTTGTGCTATGTGTATGTGTATACCTCCTTATATTATGTTTGTTTTATGTACATCCAGATTGACTTCCGTATATATGTGCCTGTAAACATAGAATACATAAATACTTCAATTGTTTCTCTAGAAATGATGCACACTCATGAATAATTCCAGTCAGCAATGAAGAATGTACAGAGAAGCAAAAAATATCACCCAGATCCTAGCTCTAAGGGCAAGACTATTGATATGTGGGTGAACTGGGCATGGTGGCTCATGTTTAGAATTTCAGCACTTGGAGGCTGAGACAGGAGAATTGCTATGAGTTTGGGGCCTCCTGGGCTACAAGCAAGTTCTAGGCCAACCTAGGTCACAGAGTGAAACCATGTCTCAAAAGCAAACAAATAATCCATATGTATATATGATGAGGTATCATGTATATGTTCATGTTTATGTATATACATATAGATGACATTTCAAAATGCCAGTGTATGTGTTTAGATCACACAAATATCTTTTAATGCTGGGCGTGGTGGTGCACGCCTTTAATCCCCGCACTTGGGAGGCGGAGGCAGGTGGATCTCTGTGAGTTCGAGGCCAGCCTGGTCTACAGATCGAGTTCCAGGCAGCTGGAACTACAGGGAGACCTTGTCTCAAAAAGACCAAAAAAAAAACCCAAAAAATCTTTTAATAGTGAAATGACCTTATTGTATAATATGTTTGTTCTCATTTTTTATTTCTTCCTTTACTATATTTCCTTGTGTTATTACAAACTTTCTGTAAACATTTTCAGTAATCGTACATCCTGCCACATTTAACAATTTCTCAAATGCTGAATCTTTTTTCTTCAAATGCTGAATCTTTTCTTACTGTTATAAATAAAAATATGGTAGACATCTCTTGCAGAACACACTTTCCATATTTCAGGCTATTTCCTTAAACAAAACTCTGTCTCTTATTGGTTTTGGATGTCCATTAAGTAGTTTCTCTGGCTTTATGACTCACTGTAATACTTCCCTCCAGAATCTCCCTGGGCCAGCAAGATGGCTCAGGGGGTAAAAGTACTTGCCACACAAGCCTGGCAACCTAAGTTTGATTCCCAGAATCCACATAAAGGTGGAAGGAAAGAACTTCACAAAGTTGTCCTCTGACCACCACATAGGCATTATGGCAGGCACACTGGTGGTTATGTGCATGCACACACAGACACAGTAATAATAGATTGAAAAAAAAAACAAACTTTTAAAAAGGGAGTGGGAAGCTGGCAAGATGGCTCAGAAACTAAAGGTGCCTGAAGCCTAATGACTTGAGTTTGATTCTCAGACCCCACATTGTGGAAGGAGAGAATCAGTTCCCACAGTTGTCCTATCCACATGTGCAGGCATGTGCACACATGCGTGTGCGCACACACGCATGCACATGCACACAAAGCAAATGAATAAGTAAAATGTAATGAAATTTTTTAAAGAACAATGAGCACAGTGACCTTAGCTTGTAGTCCTAGCACTCTCAAGGGTAAGGTGAATCCCAAATTTGAGACCAGCCTAGTCCAGACAGAGAGATGCTGTCTCAAAAACTATAAACACAAAGCAGACATGTAATCTACCTGTAATTCCAGTATTTGGGAGGCTGAGGCATGAGGATCACTCAGAGTTTGAGGCCAGCCTGGGCTACAGAGCAAGACCCTATCTCAAAACAAAAAAAAACCAAAAAGACTTCTATCTCTTTTTCAAATATTTTAAAAATTATTTTTATTTTGTTATGAGTGTATTGCCTGCATGTTTGTTAGTACACCTGTGTTGTGCAATGCCCATGGAGTCAGATTCCCTGGAACTGGAGTTACGGATGGTTGTTAGCTGCCATGTGGGTGCTGGGAATCGAACCCAGGTCCCTCTGCAAGAGCAGTCAGTGCTCTTAACCACTGAGCAAGCCATCTCTCCAGCCCCTAGAAAGAACCCTGTCTCTTAATGAACATTATTTTCTGTAAGAAATGTATATTTATTATAAAGAATTAGAATATTCTGAAAAACTTCCTTATTCCTTATGTCTTTGATATTTTACCCATGCAATCACCTGTGTTTTTGTTTTGTTTTGTTTTATAAAATCGAAGCTAGTCATGGTAGCACATCCCTGTAATTTCAGCACTCAGAAGGTAGTGGCATGAGGATCACTGCAAGTTCAAGGCCATCCTGGTCTACATGTCAAGTTTCAGGTTATCCAGGGCTACGTAGTTAGACCCTGTCTGAGAAAGGAAAAAAATTGAGGATATAAGAACCAAATTATTTTATAATCTTTTTACCCCATTCAATACCACAAATTGAATATTTTCTCATAAAATATTTTACAACATATACTTTACTCTGAATAACTTATTGAAACAAAATCAATGACCAGAGAAAACTGTTGTAGGAAAAGCTAGCAAGTTTTGTTAGACTTCTAGAAATCCTCAAATTGTCTTCAGTTGAAATGGTACAGAGATGAAAAGGGATCTGAGCCACTTCATCTGTGTGAGTGCTGCTGAGCACTTCTCTACCATAGGTGAGGGTTCTGGGCCCCCATTTCTATACTAGTGGTTGCTAGGTTCATACCATTCCAGTCATCCACATAGACTTGATAGTGAATTGTGGCATCTAAAGGCAGCTACATAGCCCGCTGTCAACATCAGCACCTGTGTTGACCCATAGGAAGCTCACACATATGTTTGTACCAGGCTCTGTAGCTGAGTCCTTCCAGCAATCAGGAATGTTTTTTTGTTTTTGTTTTTAATTTTATATGTATGAGTGTTCTGCCTCCATGTATGTAAGAGTACCTGTGTCGTGCAGTGCTTGCAGAAGCCAGAAGAGAATGTTGGATCCTCTGGAATTGGAGTTGTTAGCCACCATGTGGGTGCTGGGAATTGAACCTGGGTCTTCTGCAAGAGCAGCTGGTGTTCTTATCCACTGAGCCATCTCTTCAGCCCCAGGAATGTTTTCTGAAGATGAGTGTGTCAATGGTATAACCTTCAAGCCTGTTGCTGTTCTCAGCCTGGCAGAGAATGAGCTTCAAGGTTACAAAACCAAGATTCTCTCACACACTTGGTGATCTTGGGGAAGTCATTTTTCCAGTCTAAGCTTCAGTCTTCTCTTTTTTTTTTTAATTTTTATTTTATGTGTTATGAGTGCATTGTCTGCATGTAGCTAAGTGCACCTGTGTCGTGCAATGCCCACAGAGGACAGAAGAGGCTGTCAGATCCCCTGGCACTGGAGTTACAGACTGTTGTTAGCTGCCATGTGGGTGCTGGGATTCGAACCCCGGTCTTCTGCAAGAACAGTCAGTGTTCTTAACCATTGAGCCATCTCTCCAGCCCCCAGTCTTCTCTTTAATGTGGCAAAATGATACACATTTCACTGAGGTAGTTCTGAGAATCAAAAGGAAAAGTAAATATACAAAATGTACTAATTATCACTGTCATCCTCTTCTCCCTGACTTAGCCTAGAATGCAGTATAGTCTAAAAGGCATCCGTAATCCAGTTGCCTGGCTCTCTATGAACTCAGAACCTCACTGTCTACATGGGTGCATTGGCCTCAGCTCTTTAACTGGAGTACTTTGAGGATGAGAATGAAATATCCGTAAATCCTTATCCCACTTGCTTCAGAATTCCAAGAAATTCTGAGGGATAGAAAGGCTGCAAGTATGCATGCTTCATTTTTAGCAATTAGGCAACTGGATGGCACAGGTTCAAAGCCCTTCAGAGAATGAGGAAACCAGGGATCATGTGCTGTTGAACAACTGGTTGCTCTCTGCTTTCTCAGATCCTTCCCAGTTTTCCCTATTAGACACAGTGTCCAATGGGTAACTCACACTGGCAATGCCACAGTTCCAAGTGTGACAGTGACAAGGCCTTTGTTTCTCCTCAGCATACTGGAAAGCTGGGTTTTTGTTTCATTGTTTCTGTTTGAACTCTCTTGCCACAGCTCTGTTGAAACACCTTACAAATCCTTTCCTTGTGGCCTCCACCTTAGCCTTCCACCAGAATAAAGAGATGATAGACCCAGACAAGTTCTGCAGCCTCTGCCATTCAACTTTCAACGACCCTGTCATGGCTCAACAACATTATGTAGGCAAGAAACACAGGAAGCAGGAGACCAAGCTCAAACTCATGGCACACTATGGGCGAATGGTGGACCCGGCTGTCTCTGACTTACCAGGTAAGAGGGTCCAGCTCATACCCAGAGCTGTCCAGGGCTTGAACACTGGGGATCCTGGACTAATCAAGTATATGCTTCTTCTAAAGCAGAGTTTGCAAACTCAGATACCTATAGAAGGCAGGCCAGGCCTCATAGTGTACACCTATAATTCCAACACTTGGGAGGCTGAGGCAGGAAGATCAAGAGTTCAAGGCCAGCCTGTGATATATAGCGAGGCACTGCCTTGAGAGAAAAAGAGGAAAAAAAGCCAGGCAGGAAATTTAAATGATAAGACAGAGAAAAGACTGATCAGCTAGAGTGTATGCTGAGCCCAAGGGGTCAAAGATGGCCAGTTGGCAGAACTGTGTGGGTAACCTGATGTGTGTTGGCTGCTGCCAGGAAGCTGCCATTGTTGGCTACTGTGGCACCAAATATATCTGGGCAGCCACGGCCAAGGGCATCTTCCAAAGCGTCATGCCAGTAGAAATAGATATGATTATAGGTAAAGACCAGGAAGGTTTCTTTACCAACGGTTTGACACTTGGCACAAAGATGTGTTCAGTGATTAGAGATAGTCTGTATGTTGATGATGACTGCACAGTGGACATCCAGAGAGTCAAGAGTAAGGAGGCAACATATAATGTTGCTGTTGGCAAAGCTGGAAGAGTCTTGGTCTTTGTGATGGGAAAAGAAGGGGTTCATAGGGCTGGAGAGATGGCTCAGCAGTTAAGAGCACTGACTGCTCTTGCAGAGGACCTGGGTTTGACTCCCAGCATCCTCATGGAGGCTACAAACCGTCCTTAACTCCACTTCCAGGGGAATCCGTGGCATTGCACGACACAGGTGCACTTACATACATGTGGGCAATACAGTCATACACATAAAATAAAAATAAAATATTTTAAAAAAGAAGGGGTTCAGGGAGGTGATTGAATAAGAAGGCATACCCAATGGCAAAATACTTGACTCTGGGTTCTGGCTGCTAGGCAGACAAGTATTAGGGGGAAATTGCTCTTAAATTTTCTTAGCTGTAGGCTTAAGCCTTAATTCTGGAAATTTTATTAGCAATTCATGGTGATGGGATATGAACCCACATCTCCTTTGTATTTCTCTCTTGATGGGGAAAGGTGTTGTTCTTTCTGTCCCCCCCCCCTAAATAATTCTATTCGCTTTTACTTTGTTTCCTTGTGTACTCCAGCATTGGTTATAGTCATGAGAAAGGAAGGTGTCCATGGAGGCACACTTAATAAGACAGCATAAGAACTTACTTTATGCCTGAGGAGGTCTGATGTGTAGTAGTCTCTCCTTATTTACCTAGCAGCTATCTTCATCTCCACCCCAACTATGGTCACAGCACTACCAGACGAGACAGGGTCTCCTTGTAGCTACTGCTGGCCTGGAACTCACAGAGATCCTCCTGCCTCTGCCTCCCAGCAAAGGAATTAAAGGTGTGCGCCACCATGCCTGGAATTTCTTTACTTTTTAATGTCATGATTCATGTTTGCCCAAAGGTTCATTTGTATGTTAACTACTGCATATAATCAGTCTTTATCTGGCATCATAATTATAGTACAATAATGATTTACATGATACTTGAAATTGGGAGGAAGGGGTATGCCAAGTTGGGCATCACTTTGTCTTGGCAATCAATGGACTATTGATTACTAAAATAATACTAAGCGAGGTGCCAGTTGTACATGGTTGTGAGGAAAGAGTACATACATCTTTACTTCATTTTTTTCCATCCCCCTCCCATTGAACATGAGGTATATGGTTTGCTTCATTCTCTTTTTTGTGTAGTGCTTAGTTTATTTAACCAGTTAATACTTATTTTGTTGATAAGCTATTGAGAGCTGCAGTAACTTGCTTTTAATACTGTGGTTGCACTTGAAACAGACGTTTTGTAGTGTTGCCAAGACATAAAGAGGGAGCTGTAAAACAAGCAAAAGGCACTTCCTCCCATATAGTGACCATACTGATTGAATCCCCAGGAATATTCCTTCATTGCAGTAGCTCAGACTTTCTATGGTTTTTTGCAAACCAGCTCTACTCTTTAGTAGAATTGTAAACAGCTGCCATTATGGACATAGGTACCCAGCATAACTGTCTGGAGTGTGTCCAGTTTATTCTTCATAGGACCAGTTTTTGTTTGTAGCTTAGGGTTTTTTTTGGGGGGGGGGCGGTTTCTAGGCTTGTAGACAGGGTTTACTCACAGAGTTTAAAATTTCTAAAATTTAGTCAAAAGTTTAAAAATCAGAGAAATTTCTTGGTAGTAGACAGTTTGCCTGGCATATTTGAGGCCCTGGATTTCATGCCCAGCACTGAAAACAAAATAACAACAGTCACAGGGAAATTCCTATACAAATTTGGCTTTCCATAATATTTTGAACAACTGAAAGATGGTAATACTAATATAGACCAGGAGTGGTATATACTCTTCTTTTTTTGGGCTGTAAAAGTTTGTTTTATCTGTCTTGTAAACAAAGTATTTAATAGTTACGGAACTTTAAAAAATGCATATTAAATCAGATGAGTTAAACTCTATCTCAGTTGTAACAAAGTGCAGGGAAAGAAATGGACAGATCAACAAGATTATTATTTGGGGGGGGCGCTTTTGAGACAGGGTCTCCCTGTAGCCCCAGCTGGCCTGGAACTTGCTATGTAGAACAGGCCGACCTTGAATTGACAGAGATCCACCTGACTCTGCCTCCCCAGTGCTGGGATCAAAGGCATGGGACCACCACTCCCAGCTCAAGATTTGATTTTTTTAAATCTATACATTATCCACAATGCCCAAAGAAGAGAAGCAAATACTAGAATGTCCCTTTTAATGCCAGTTAAGAGGGAATCCATCTCACAATAGCAGCAGTTCATTTTAACAATAGTATGGCACAGCACATTGAAAAAAATTCATCACATGCCAGCCAAGTCCACAATAATGTAACCACATACAAAAACCAAAGCTGTGGGGTTGGGGATTTAGCTCAGTGGTAGAGCGCTTGCCTAGCAAGCGCAAGGCTCTGGGTTCAGTCCTCAGCTCCAGGAAACAAAAAACAAAAAACATCTAAGCTGTGCCAGGTGTGGTGGTGCATGCCTTTAATCCCAGCACTCAGGAGGCAGAGGCAAGTGGATCTCTGTTAGTTGGAGGCCAACGTGGTCTACATAGTAAGTTCCAAGCCAGCTGGAGTTACAGGGAGACCCTGTCTCAAAAAGAGCAAAAAAAAATAATAAAGATTTATTTATGCATATGAGTGTTTTCCCTGAGTGTATGTATGTGTACCACATGGTTGCTTTGTTTCCAAAGAGGCCAGAAGAAGGTGTTGAGTCCCTGGAACTAGATTACAGATGGTTGTGAGCTGCCATGTGGGTGCTGGGAACTGACTCTGGATCTTCTTCAAGTACAGCCAGTGCTCTTAACTGCTGAGCCATGTCTCCAGCCTTAACCACTGATTTAACTCCCTAAGTGACAGCCACATGGTTTAGGTGAGGGCTTCAACAGCCTCTGCCAGAATTTGAGTATACTTAGGGTATCTCTTCCCTCAGCAGTTGAGGCCTGCCTATATTCCTAGGATAGTGTGATGAAAGAGGAGACCATTCTAGCCTCCTTGACCTCAAAATGTCACCTAGCATCATAGGAGTGGGCATTCACAAACATTTAGGGCTTTTCCTATTACAGTAACTACCCACATCCTATAATAAGTGGGGCTGGGGATGTTAGCCAGGAGAGTGCTTGCCTGCCTCACACACAGGAAGCCCTGGTTTTGATTGCCAGCACCACATAAACTTGGCACATTAGTAGTGTATACCTGTAATCCCAACATTTGGGAGTTGAAAATAAGAGTATCAGGAGTTCAAGATCATCCTCTGCTACATAATGAGCTCAAGGCCAGCCTGGTCTACAAAGCAAATTCCAGGTCAATAAGACCCTGTCTCAAAAAAAACAAACAAAAAAGTAGAGAGCAAGTACGGATCTAAGTGGAAGAGGTGGAAAAAGTACTCTCATTTTGCTAGTGGCCTGGAGGACTTGAGTAGTCTATGAAGGTGTAGCTCCAGATGGTCAGTGCTTGATACCCTTTGCAGTCCAGATGTGGAACAACTTAGCCTTGGGAAGCCCACTGCATAGTTACCTGTGCTCTTCCCATAATCATAGGGATGGTGACCAAGGAAGTGCTATAGGCATTCCAGACCCACATATGGGCAAGGAAAGGGGATCATGCTTCTCCAACAACCTCTATCACAAAAATAATCATCTGACACAGGCTGTCCCTGGTCCACACCAACATAGATGAAACAGGTGCAAAGCAGTGACCAGGGAGCCAAGGAAGAATTTATAAGACAGATCTCTCAGGAAGGTGCCAGGGCTTACTGTCCAATGCCATGGAAGGTCCCTGCTGTATAAATCTCTTTAAGATAGATAGGGACCAGCCATGGAGGTATACACAGGTGAACAAATGCTAAAGAACAGGCAGAAGGCTAGCTTGGGCTGTACCTTTAACTCATGACCCTAATCCTAGCACTGGGGAGGCTGAGATAGGAGGATCAAGGGGAGTTTGAGACCAGCATGAGCTATGGAACAAGACTGTATCTCAAAAAACTAAAATAATCTAGTGTGGAGGGGTATGGGGAGGAGGTCTAAATTTGATAAAGATGTATTATATGAAATGCACAAAAATTCAATAAAAACATTAAAAATGAAAAAAATAAGGCAATAAGAATGCCACAGCCAGGTGTGGTTTTTACCCTTTAAAAAAATTGAAATAAAATGAGGCAGATATGGTGGCTCATATCAAGGTCATTCTTGGCTACATAGTGAGTTTGAGACCAGCTTAGGCTATATGAGACCGTGTCTCAAAATAGAAAAAAAAAAAAAGAAAGAAAAATGATAGCAACTGGAGATGTAGCTCAGTGACAGAGCCCTTGTCAAGCATTCCCAAGACTGGGTTCAATCTCCAACTCCAGAGGGGCAGAGATAGAAAAGATTTGGCTTGTATTGATTTATTATTCGTCCCTCATGGAAGCAGGGGTAACTCATATGCTATGGATTTTGGAAATTTGAGAACCAAGAAACCTAGATGCCCTTTGTGACTTCATCTTCGGCCTGCAATTCTTAGGAACATTATATCCAGTGCTTGCCCAGGGATTCCTTGCAGCCCCCACCCCTCATTTGTCCCTCCTCACTCTAGTTAGTTTCTCACTTGTTGTCTACTAGCAGGACTCAGGCATTACAGTGTATAGACTGCTTGCTTTGGTTGGTTGGATTTTTTTTTTTTTTTTTTTTTTTTTTTTTTTTTTCTGTTTGAGACAGGATCTCCCTGTAGCCCCAGCTGGCCTGGAACTTGCTATGTAGACTAGACTAACCTCAAACTCACACAGGTCTGCCTGCCTCTGCCTCCCAAGTCCTTGGATTAAAGGTGTGTGTTACATGCCCAGCTGTTTTTGTTGTTGTTTTAATTTTTAAAAATTAAATCTTTGGGGGGCGGGGAACGACATGTACATACAGGTTAAAGGACAACTTTCAGGAGTTGGTTCTTTCCTTTCATCCTGTGGGACTTGAAGGTTAAGCTCAGGTTGTGAGCCTTGGTGACAAGCACCTTTACCCATTGAGCTATCTTGCTACCTCACAAGCTCTGGATGCATCACCATGCTCAGCAAGGGTGCTTTTCTTTTTAATAAATTTTTATTTTTATTTTATGTGTATGAGTGTAATCCCTGCATGTGTGTAAGTGCACCCTTGTCGTGCAGTGCCCACAGAGGTCAGAAGAGGGTATCAGATCTCCTGGAACTGGAGTTACAGGAAGTTGTCAGCTGCCATGTGGGTGCTGGGAATCAAACCCCAGTCCTCTGTAAGAGCAGTCAGTGCTCTTAACTGTTGAGCCATCTCTGTAGCCCTGAGGCTGCTTTCTTAATTGTGTTTGTTCTCTTAGATCTAAAGCCAAAGCCACTTTCCTCTATCTGTCTTCCTCCATTTTCCTATGACTATTTTTTTTACCCATATTTAAGTCTTGAAGTTTTTTACTAAAGTATACTTTTATGTGTACAAATGTATTGTCTGCATGTACGTGAGTGCACCCATGTCATGCAATGCTACGGAGGCCAGAAGAGAGCATCAGATTCCCCTGGAACTGGAAGAACTGGAGGAACTGGAGTTAAGGTTGGTTCTTAGCTGCCATGTGGGTGCTGGGACTTGAACCCAGGTCCTCTGCAGTAGCAGTCAGTGCTCTTAACCACTGAGCCATCTCTCCAGTTCCTCCACTTGCTTCTTTATTCAGTCTGGGACCTCAAACCATGGAATGGTGCCACCCATATTTAGGGTGGGTCTTCCCATCCCAAT